TTTGACAAAAGTGTGATAATGAATAGTAACAATTATTGACAGCTTCTCGATTGCAAACGAGAGAATTATGTTAGTTTAATTATTTCACATTATTGCATTGACTATTACCGTCGACTCGACAAGTCTATGGTAATATCGAGCACGACAAAATGTCTAATACAGACAATGGGATCATTAATAAGCCGTATACATAATTTAAGGCTTATCACTGCATTGCGGTCGTCCGACAATTCATCATTGTGGAATTTCAGGACCTGTTCAACGAAACTGCGATTCATCATATTTTAACGCGAAGGTTTAGAACCCGGAAAGCGTGCGACCTTCCTTCCTATCTCGATTTCGCTACATTAAGATTAAAGAATGAATGCACGATCGATATAACAAACAGTCATTAACATTATGCATTCGTGATAACGTGAATTGCTAATACCCGGCGACTTATTCGAGATTCTTTAGGACTCGCATTACCAACCGCAAAATAAATGAAAGAAATTACATATATTTGATCCAGGAAAGCAAATACTTACTTTTTAAATTCAAAATTAAATAAAAATTTAGATAAAGACAACCTTTCCATCTAAAGACTATTTAGTTTTTTCTCTCTTCAAATGTACGATATGAATTTTCCTAAAGTCGCGTTGTACATCATAATAATAAATTGTAAGGCTAGTGATATTAAATTTCTTTACGCACAACAGTAATTTTTATCTTTTTTATAATTACTCCTTAAAGTTAATTTATTAATTTTATAATTAATTAATTAATTAATCTATATTATTTGTATTATTAATTATGTAATATTATTATAATATTTTTATATATAATATATTGATATTATTAATAATTAATTATTCTATATTAAGAGGTCTGTTCGCGTTACTTGAAATATTCCAAAATTTTTAAATTTAAGGTGAGATAGATATGTGTATTTGGACGTTGGAAAGAGAGAAAGCAAAGATACTGTTGTAAAAAGTGTAAGCAATGCAAACAAACCTATTGATAATAATAATTATTATTATTCTATATTACTGATAATAACAGAGACATTTTAAATAGTCAAAAATAAATAAAATATACTTTTTGCATTTTGCAAATTCGTGGAAAGAATTAAAATTCCAAAGAATTAAAATTTGTCGCAGCATATACCTAGAATAGCGGTCAAGGTTTTATGCTTAAGTAACAGAACACTTATCGACCTCCGCGTATTTCTGGCTTGCAAGTTTGGCTCATTCGAAACGTGGGCAACAGTACGCCAACAGTATGCCAGATATCATTGCGAATTCATAGGAAACGGTACAATAATTGCGTGAATGTCGACAACTGGTTTGTGCGAGTGACGTCTGAGCCAAATTCTACGTGCAAGATATACGTATGAATGGAAAAAATCAGATACACACATTTCGATATTGTGATATCTTCATTAATAAATATTAGTGGTAAATATTTTAATGATATTTTAAAAAAATTGTCACCGCCTGTTTCATATTCATCGTGAAGTCATTTGAATAGAATAAGCATTAATTATTACATTGTCATTTATTCATGATTCCATGTGACATTTATCTCTACATTGTAATTTAACGTCGCTGTGTAAAAAAGTTGCAATATGAGCAACAATGGAAGATTTACTGGTAAGTCAATGAAAATACAGAAATAACAAAAAGTACACCGATTTTGTAGCTCCTTCAACAATTTTTCTTCTCTTTCTTTTTAAAAAAAAACCATGTTAGTTAATTTAATTAAATAAAGAATTTTAATTTAGTTAAATAATAATTTTGCTGACATAAGTGATTTGCCTGTTTTTATTTGCAAAAGAATATAATAAGAGTTATTGTATTTTTATTATATTGTATCTTAAGGATTCCCTTGAGTAGTCACCACAGCTATATTGAATCGTGATGTCAGAAACGAAAAATGACACGTTAACTTTTACTATAATAATTTTTATTACGTACCATTTATAAATAAAGATAATTTAGATAAAACAAAATGATAAGATTTAAAACATTTGTAAAAATGGACGAAAACTATGCTTATCTTCTCTGACAGTCAGTAAATATTCGTAAAAAAAGTGACCAGGAGCCTTAATTCTTTCAATTAGGGAAAAGTTATTCCTTTGTAATATATACTTTACATGTTCATGTTTTGTTTGGAACGTCAAGTATTGAATCATTTTTCTCAACAGAACGTAAATTTGAAAATTAACTTTTTTACTCTTCTTTTTAAAGAATCACTTTCCAAGGATATTAGCTTCGAGCTCTAGGAAATACAGATTCATCACTGACAGCAAATTTTGATCGTGGTGGAACTTTCATTCGCGTGTCTATTGCCAAGGCTGCATCGATTTTTCTCCTCAATGCCCGAATAGCAAATTTACATACAATTTCACCCCGGGGAGAACGCAAGTTTTCTATGTATATATTGACGAGTGTGTTGAACGAATCCTGTTACGCGAATGAATCTTTTATGCCATGCCGTTAACAAGAAAAAAGTTCGAGTTTGTTGTGCGAGACGTAAAATTAAACTACATTTGTAAGGAATTATATTGTACATACATACGTCAAGACCACGAAATCAGAATCATCGATCGAATATTAGTAATCAACTTCGTGGAGAGTATTTAACACGTATGATGTTCATCGCGCACGTATTTGTAAAAATAGTCGGGACGACACTTTATTTACACAAAAAATCGTTTATTTTGATAAAACCTAACTAGCTAACGATTATATAATTGCAGCCTTTTAAAAAAAATTATTTTGCAACAAATCTTTCGTAATAGGATAAATTTTCATTTCATGCACTGTCTTTATATCCATACAGATCGATGGCGTTTTTCAGCGAAATGTTTTCCAAGGAGATTCTTTTTTACCCAAAATTAAAGACAACGTCTCAATAAACATTTTTAGAAAGAGATTATGTAATGAGATCTGAACTAATTTTCTGAACCACATTTAGATTTCTACAACATGATATCACGTAGTGATCACTGTATAAGAAGTTTAATAAAGGAATTCTTTTAGATATCCTATTTATAAGATCTCAAATTTGAATGTTACAACGATATCTTTTGAATGATATATAATTAATATCAGATTTAACATAATATTTTGATATCATAAATGAGAGCTTTCATTTTACTATATCATAATACGCATGAATATGATTCAATATATACATATATTTTATTTATATCTACCTCAAAATAAACTTTTTTCATGTGCGCGGTAAATATAGATAATTTTTTAGTTTTCTAGATGTTAAGAAGAGCCACGTACCTCATCTCGAATTTTGATAAAAATATACTTTTAATCATTTTTGCAATATAAATGAAAAATTTACAAGAATAAAAAGCAACTGCGACTAAGGCTATCTTCGTTTTCAAGGCTTAGAAGATAAAGATAGAAATTTTTCAAAGAAAGAAATAAATTTTACACTTTTTGTGTAATAATTAGCAAATATTATTGAAAATGAAACTATGGATGAAATACCGGAAAGTGAACCATTGAACTATGGAAGTTTATTTGATTTTACTTAAAGAACATTCTTTTCTTCTTCAGAAAACGAGTTTGATGCCGATATCTTACAGGAAAATAATATTAAAATTAATTCTATCAAATAAATATAAGATTTATACATAACAAATACGTAATAAAAAGTAATGATATAAAATTAATTCATTAATTGCTTCCGATATTATAAAAATTATAGATAAATATTCCAAGGTCATTTTTAAACAATCTTCACACAGTGATCAGATTTATTTCTGAAGTAATAACAAAAATTCCAGTACTTACTTTCTAAAAAATCAATTCTTTCACTACATAGCGATCAAACGTCTCTTGAAATGCAATCGGAAACTTCAATATTTAACGAATTTAAAAATAATTCTTCTATAATATCACCTTCATTTTATGATAATCAGATATCTTCTCAAAAGAAATCCGAAATCAAAAGTTGATATTTTGAAGAAAATTTCAAAATCACTTTCTAATGATCAAAAGACTTCTGCAACGAAACCGAGAATTCTAAGTATAAAGGAAAGTGAGTTGTCATAACGTTTCCTCATTAATTTCATTATTTTTAAAATAATTTTTTATTCTTTTTTTTTACTTAAAAAGATATTCCATTACCTGAATTACGTGCGTGTGATGATCAATATAAAAACAGTTCTGAAAATAACAGTGAAGTAATATCATATGCTCAGCATGTGTCGTGTTGTAGTACTAATATAAAGAGAAAAAAATACATATCTAAAATGAATAAGATTTGAGTCGTACGTATTTAGTTACATTTTATTTAATTTGTTCTTACTTTTCAGAAATGTGTCGGACAGATATTAAAGCCATTTTACAAACTGTAACATTTATAAAGCAGATTGTTATGAATTTACATCCCTCCAGACCAGCTGCATGAAATAAAGGAAATAAATTTGAATTTACTAGTTCCAATCATTGAAGCCTTAAATCAATTCGAAACGCTTTTAAAAGAAAACGACGCTGCTCAATTATATGTGAGTATTTTTTTTAGAAAGTAAATTAGAGGAAATTTAAGAATTTCTAGTTATTTATATTTTATAAAGATGACGAATTGATTGTTTATAACTCTACATCTAATACTTTTAATACATTTAGTAGTTATATACATCTAATGCATTTAATAGTTATTTAAGAATAATTACTTAATTACTATTATATTGTCATTTACATATTTAACATTTTATTTATTTAACTCATTTTTACTTTTTGCAAAAAAAATATCGTTTTTATAACAAATCGCAAAAATGCTTTTAGTTTCTTAAAGTTCAACTCATCAGCTGTTGATTCATCATTAATAAAATCTTTTTTCATTTATTTTTGACAAAAAGATGAAGGTTTGAAAAAGATTCGTTTTCACGTTTTTTTCCTATCCCTTTTCACTTCTTTTATGCTACGTTTTAGACTTTCAAAAAAATTTTTTTTTCAGTCTTCAAACAATAGATTAAAAAAAAATTAGTTAAAATCGATGCACTACAATCTAAGATACAAGCAAAAGAAAACGCTGGGTTACCCAGATGTGGGTAGATAGGGACTTTTTCGAAATGTGGGTACTGAAAGTTAATACTTACTTTTTGTAACATTTTTAAGGCTTTCAGGGGTGTTCTCTATTGAAAAAAGTCACATCTCAAAGTTACATAACAAAGTTACATAACAAAAGTCATATAATTAAGATAAGTAAATCGCGTACGATGGAACGTTGTTCCAAATCAGTACACATGATTTTTTTAAATCACGTAATTTGAAAAAAATGATTGACACATGATGAAATATTAAACTGAGATTAAATTAATTTACATTACTATAGAAATGGACATAATTCGCGCGTCTATCTCTTCTTATTCTTCCTCACGCGACGACGATCGATCTTTTGTCGTTGTCCTCTCTTTTACTGCTTTGTGATTCTCGCTACATAAGCGATATGTATAATATATCACATGCCGAGCTCCTATATCAACAGTATTCAATCGGGTTTCCTTTTCAGACAGCGAGTTCTGCTTCGCGTGAAAGCCTCGTCATTACTGTCGTCGTTTAACCATATTGATCGTAAAAATACCACCGCAGGTGGTAATTATAGACATTAAAAATCATTTAGTGGAATGACACTTCACATTTACAATTATCGTTACATTTATAATTGTTAACAATTGCAAATTATCAGCATTTATAATTAATTTGCAATAATTTAGTGGTTTGTGGCACTTATATACTTGACAATTCTTCCTCGCAACGTTATTTCTTCTACAACGCGGGATCTCAAGTGTAATAAATCATAAAATTCAACATAAATTAAAAATTGAATATATATGAGAAACGAATAAATAGTGCAACGAAAGACGTAAGTATTAACGGGTTTAATACGATATTTATGTGCAATTAATTCTTGAATATGCAACTTACTAAAACTTGAAAATTTATAAGAGTTTAAATAGCATAGAAATTATTTCGATTTAAGGATAAGCAGAGATGAATAAGAGACACAGATAAGCGTAATTAAGAAAGATATTGAGCTTTCTCTAAGAAATAAGAGAAAAAGGAGGAGAGGAAGGAGAAAAGTGAAAATTTGAATAATTAAATCTATAAAGCTATAAATCTGCAATAATTACAATTAAAGGTATCGTAAAAAATGTAACAACAAAGGCTAGGATTTTCTGAAGATACCCTTATTATTTATTCAATCTTATTTAAAATGAAGTTTAGGCAATGTTAAGACACAGAATCATCGATCAAATATTAGTAACCAACTTCGTGGAGAGTATTTAACATGCATGATGTTCATTGCGTTCATTTATAAATATAGTCATGACGATACCTTTTTTTACGTAAAAAAACATTTTGATAAAACATAAGTAGCTAACAAACATATAATTGCAGCCAAAAAATTTTTTTACAACAATGTTAACGGAACTCATTTAAGTTAGAACAGTTAGAACTTTAGTTAGAATAGTCAGCCGGAAAACATTTGCAATGTAAGTATTTTACAAATATTTACATACGCGTTGAGTTCTGCATTATTTTCGAAACCGATGCTTATACACGTAATACGCGTAGAGAATACACGTGAGAAATAATATATTAGATTATTTATAAATCTAAGGCCCGGTTACACCAACGTTACTTTGACTTTAAACGAGACTTAAAACTCTCTTTATCTCTCGTTTTAAAACCGAACAAGAACAAAGAGAGTTTTAAGCTTCGCTTAAAATTAAACTAACGTTGGTTACAACCGAGCCTAAGACCCTTATTATTATATAATTATTATTCTTATTACATATTATCTTGGCGACCAAATTTTAATCAATGGCAACCGATAGACGATTGGGTTAACAACCTAATCGCCTATTCCATTAAAAAAACCAGCTGATTAGCGACATGTAGCAATCTGGCGACGATCTAGTCTTCTTAAAAATTATTTTTGTTACATTATCAGGCTGATGTCGGCCTACTGGTTGGTCGCTCCAATATTTATTTATCATTGACCCTTAACCATAACTTTTGATATCTCGTCGATTCTGAACGTCACTATTTCTTTAACGTGCTTGCCGCAGATACACATAATCACCAAGAGTCACGGACCCGATGTTTTCGATTCTCAAGAATAAAAAGTAATGACGTTGACACTGTCCACGAACAGAACTTTCAGGCATTAGTTTTTTGAAAAAATAAAGTACGTAATATATTGAGTTATATTAATGTCGTTTTGATTTCATAATATAAGCTATTTATAATTTGCTTGCAGCGCGGGAATAAATAGTAGAATAACATTAAGTATCCAGAAACCATTTAAATATTACTATTATCTGCAATTAACAAGGAATTTAGAATTTAAAAATATAATAAAATATAGCAAAGTTCTTAATTTAGCAGGTACGTTCCGAAAATTTTTATGTATTACTCATGTATTTTCAACATTTTCTTTGATACAATGTCTAATATAATTATTTACGTAATATCTAATATTATCTGCATTATTATTATCATATTAAGTAGGTTTAAAAGCATCATTAATCTCGCGTCGAATCGTCAAACGTGCTCGATTTTCATTATTATCTCGATCAAGACGCATGTAACAAGCCACTTGATCCCGTCACGTTCGGACAACACTAGCTTCTCAGATCGCTTCAACTCAAGTCGTTTGACATCTCTACAAGGATATATATTGCATGGACTTTGCACTGTACCCTAAGTCGGTTGTAATAAAAGTAATTGATAGAATCCGCTTATTTTTGTTGGATGTTTGCTCGATTTACTTAAATAGCGCAACATATCGCTTATAATATTATAGGGCAAACATTAAACACTATGTTAGAATTTCTTTCATCGCAAAATAAATATTGCAATTTTCTTGCGTGTTAAAAAAGATATACATAGTTTAGCTTCAGTTTTGTATAATTACAGATTAATTTACAGATAATTACAAATAGTTTATTTTTCTTATGTATCTTTTAAATTTAGCCTCCGTATAATTTGAGATTAAAATATTTTAAACAATTAAACAATTTTTTTTCTTTTATTAGTATAGTTTTATTGAGTTCGTTTTTTTTCTTTTCCTTCTTCAATTTGGATCGTCAAGTGTAAATTTAGCGTATCAAATCTTAACGTCCCTCAGGACAATGAAGAATTCGAACGGCGTGAAGAACCCCATAGATATTGCAGATTCGAATGAAAGCATTACATTGACAAGGTCAAAGTTGGAAACCTTCGATGATATCTTGCCGTATGTCGGTGACTTTGGTAGATATCAATGGCTGCTTCTATTGGCCTTGCTTCCCTACAGCATGGCATACGCCACTCTGTACTTCTCGCAGTTCTTCATTACTCTGGTACCGCAGGAACATTGGTGCAAGGTAGAGGAACTAATGTCTTCAAACCTCACGCAGGAAGAAAGGTAAAATTTAATTGCGTAGCAATGGCATTTGTTAAGATCCCAAAATAAAATATTATATATTTTATCTTGCTTCCAACATAATTATTCAAAGCAATAAATAAATTAAATTAACTAACGGTCAGTAATCAAGCTACAATATTTCAGATGTCAATTAAAATTTATTATCAAGTTACACTAAACAAAATACGTTTCGGAACTCACAGGTCAATTTTTAGCAAATTTAAATAATACTAACAATTAATTACCAACGCAATATAGGTACGTGTGGCAACGATTTTTGTGATTGAATTCTACAATAAAATCGTCACAAATGATGAAACGTGGTGATTCTTGTGTTTGAAACATCTTTCTATTGTTGCAGAAGTGTAATAGTTTTTATTAAGTGTAATAGTTTTAATTATATTTGTCCATTGATTAGTAATCGATGGTCAACAAAATCTTTGTTAACGAGTGAAAGTCTAGTGATCATTCACAGTCAAAATCACGGACATCTCTACAAGGATATATATTGCATGGATTTTGCACTGTACCCTAAGTCGGTTGTAATAAAAGTAATTGATAGAATCCGCTTATTTTTGTTGGATGTTTGCTCGATTTATTTAAATAGCGCAACATATCGCTTATAATATTAGGGCAAACATTAAACACTATGTTAGAATTTCTTTCATCGCAAAATAAATATTGCAATTTTCTTGCGTGTTAAAAAAGATATACATAGTTTAGCTTCAGTTTTGTATAATTACAGATTAGTTTACAGATAATTACAAATAGTTTATTTTTCTTATGTATCTTTTAAATTGAGCCCCTGAGTATAATTTGAGATTAAATAGACTGTCAACTTTGCCTCTATCTTTGAAGACAACGCAGCGACATATTTAAGTTCTCTCACTCATACATGTATAAATTATATGGATAAATTCACACGATAGAGCTCACATACGCATACATACGCATATGGAAACTAAAACAAGGATAACTTGTCTATCAGATTTATCCCTTTCTATCGCAAGCAAATCTATTTATATAAGTTTGTGATAAAAATATAAATTATAATATCGTGTTAGAACAGAAGGAATCTTAATACTGAGCGTCTTATTATCGTCAAACGAATTTCATTTGAATTGATATACAATAAATTGACGACAATAAGATCCTCAATTTATATTTTGACTACGAATGATCACTAGATTTTCGCTCGTTAACGGAGATTTTATTGATCATCAATTTATTTCATCGTTTGTGATAATTTGATTATAGATTTCACAAAAATTATTATCACACGTAATTAATTGCCGCGTTGATAATTATCATTACAAATAATATATGAATCTATAATTTATAAAAAAATTTTGGATTATGGAACGAAATTGTTTTAAAAGTGGCCTTAAAGTTTCTTTTTCCCTTCACAAGCATGTTATTATCTTCTTATCTCTAAAAATATATTTCGTACATTAGAAATCAATATTTTCAGAGTGGAGATTGCCATACCAAAATCGCAGAATTATCCGTACTACGACCGATGCCGTCGAAAGGATTTGAATTTCTTCGCTCTTGTAAATAGGAACGACAATCACTCGATCAAATGGGAGACAAACAAAACCGTGGATTGCAACCAATGGGAATACAATTTCACGCAGATCCCTTATGCTAGCATAGCGACTGAGGTGAAGTATTCTTGAGTGTGTCACTGTATGTATAAAATATGTAGAAGACACGAAGAGAGAATCAAGATTCGCGAGTACTCTTGTGAAATTGTTGTGCGATTAACTGAGATTACGAGCGTTCTTTCCTGTAATTCCAATTGTAATCCATTGCAGAACGATAATACGCGAATAATCGATGAGAGACAAAGAAATAAGATAAAAATAAATTTTGCATAACTTAAGTAACTCTCATAAACGCAGAAATGTAGGAAACGTTGCATTTCTTAATTTCATCGTAATTTCAATTTACGTTATCTACTGCAAAACAATAAAACCCGATGAGAGACGAAGGAATAGTAAAAACTCAGTAAACATTAATTAAAAATAATATAACATTAATGCGTTATAACTACACTCTCAGAAATATAATACATATTGTAAGATACATTGTTGAGTGTAAAATTATATTGGATGCGTTGGTGCAGATAAAGCAGCTTTACAACTGTTATAAAATTTTTTAATATGATTAGTTTTGCCTAGTTTCTCGTTATCTAAATATATAAAACTAATTACATTAAAGAATTTTATAACAGTTATAAAACTGCTTACTCTGCTGAACGCAGCCATTAACATGTTACGTTATTTTTAGTTGTTTACTAACTAAGATAAAAATAAACGTTTTGTAACTCCCGTAAATGTAGAAACATGATATAATACACATTGCATTTCTCACGCACTGATTCTGGACCCTTTGTGATTAGCTAGATTGGGTATGTGACCAAGAGTACCTCATATCGACGGCACAGTCGGTCTTCTTCTGCGGTTCCATCGTCGGTGGCTTTCTCTTCGGATGGATCGCCGATCACAGAGGCCGGATCCCTGCCTTAATGTTCTGCAATGGCATTGGACTCCTGGCTTCGATCGCAACTGCGAGTGCGAATACTTTCTGGTCCTTCGCTGTCTGTAGATTTCTCACTGGTATGGCTTTCGACAATTGCATCAACATCCCACTGATTATCGGTGAGCAATCAACAAGAAATAATCAGCCGCGCGACGATAATCGTCTGTATTAATTACACTAAGGCTAATTCTACAATGTGCTTTTCGTTTTCTGTTTCTTGCTGTTTGCCTCTTGTCTTATTGACCAAAGAGGCAAGAGACAAATTTCAAGAAACAGGACCTAAGGGTAGATTCAGACCTTGACAGAAAAGCAGCAGCTAATCAAAACGTGCGCTAACAGTGAGTAGCACAGAAAGCCGAAACCAGCGACTACCAGTGCGAGTTCTTCAATTGATGACTCTTTTCTGCTTTTTGCTTTTCTATCTAGGTCTAAACCCATCCTAAGATTCGCTTTTTCGTTCTTTAATTAACTTGTGTTTAGAATTGATCTGATAATGATGTAAAAATTGTAAAAAAAAGTTTCTAGTTATAGTTTAATCACTAAACTGACAATTTTGTAGTGAGTACAAAACATTAAGCATTATTTATTTTTCTATAATAGTAATCGTTGTATAATGTTTTTAAAATTATCATTGCATATCATAATATTAGTTTAATTAGTTATTCGTAGCTAGTAGAAAAACACAACTTTTTTTACGTTATCATCAGATTAAATGAAATTAAATCTAAACTACCAGGTAATCAGAAAAATTATGCCTGAATAAGAGAATTCTGTTCTGATATCTTCAAAATTATATGCGAAGATACGCGGTATTTTTTATTTTTCAAAAACGTCTTAAATCTGGACTAAGGTCTTTATAGCAATAATGTGCGCACGTGTCCGTACATAGTTTACATTATAATGAATGGTATTAAGTGTAGACTACAAAAAAATTGCCTGAGATGAAAGATATGCTAGATCTGTTTTATAAATATTTATGGGCGCAAATATTACGGCGCACAACTCATTTTATACGTAATTTCATCGTTAGCTATTTTTTGCGTAAGCTATTAATTGCACGTCTACTTCTTTTTTTTTCTTATTTTTAGTCTCTCGGTAGAGACGTGATGGCTTCTTCTCCAGATACAAGGAACATATAATTTTTTAAGTGCTGATTCCGAAAGACCATTAGAAAAGGTCGCATGTTATTTTAATCTATTAAATTGAATATTCCGATACTTTTTTTATTTTGATTAATAAATCAAATCCTGAATCTCGCCAGTGCTCGAGTATATGGCTGTGAAGAGGCGAACCCTCGTCGTTAATGTTGCATTCGGCATATACTTCGCTGTTGGAAGTACAGTTCTGCCATGGGTTGCGTATTATGTCGCAAACTGGAGATTATTCACTTACGTCAGTGCAGTCCCGATGATGAGCGTCTTTATCACGCCATGGATTCTTCCCGAAAGCGCTCGGTAAATAAATATGATATGAATGATTAGTTTATTCCACTCAACCTTTTCAATCTCACACAAATTAAACTTCCATTATAAATATATAGTAATTATTTACGTAACTTTGTAATTAAAGCATTGCGGAAAAGGATTTCATATCTCTCCGATTGAAATCGAATAAATGCAATGTTTAAATGAGAATAAAGGGACAAGGCTAACGAGTGCGGCGCAGTAATCAAAGCGCAATTAATTCTGCAAATTATATATATTTTAATATCAAATTTTATCAAAATGAGATTCACAATCCTTAAACGCAGCGCTGCAATTTCTAAAGATTCATATCACTCTTAGAAATTCATGCAGTTGTAAGTTCGTCATTGTTAACTTCACTGTTCCGTTCTGCGTTCTTCGAACTTTCCACTGAAATGTAGAACACTGTTTTGCTATTAAGATGGTTCGTCGCCAACGGCAGAATAGATAAAATGCTGCAGAAACTGCGGCGGATAGCGAAGATCAACAAGAAGTGCCCTGACACGCGCATCTTCGAGGTCTTCGTCGTAAGTAAGATTGATAATGAGACGCAAAGCTGGAACGTGAGTCTGCGACACAAATCGTGCATCATCCTTATCATATTTACAGAGAAACTTGACCGCGACTAATTCCCAGAAGGAAAGCGCGACCATTTTCGATATTCTGAAGTTACCGCGTCTAGCAAAGAATACAATTCTACTAATCTTCTTTTGGTAAGACGTAATTTCATTTCTTCTTTTAGTTTCATTGTTTTCTTCTTTATAAATTTTATTAAATAAAATATCTTTTTATCATAATATAATACACAATAAATAGGAAATAAATAAGCTTTAAATAAGCTAGATCTTTAGTGCTTAAATAATTCTCGGTGTAAATTTATATATTTATATCTAATCTTGTAAAGTATACGCCGAATTTAATTTTCTGTCTTGAAACATAATTCTAACAGAACTGAAGTGCAGTTCTGTCATATCACAAATTAAATTGATAGGCAATTTAATAATATTGGTTCTCATAGATCTTAGAAAGATCTTAATAATAGAAGATCTTAATAATCTGATGCTGATAAACATCTTAAAATCTGTAAATAACCTTATTGCAAAAAAATATCTTAGCTTTCTTCTTTATTTGATATATTTTTTCGCAGAATATTAATTTTTGAAGATATCATATCTCTATCTCTTGCGAGGAGATATATTTTAACGCAGTTTCTTTTTTCGGAAATACATGGAAAAGTTTTACTGAAGTAAAAATTTAGCTAGATATAGATTTAAAAATAATTTGTTTAATCATTAAAATAATGATGTAGAAAACTCAAACATGATTAATAATGTTGTATAAAGTTTTGACATTCTAGCAACCTGCAGCTTGAGTCCTACATGATTGTTTTGATGATCCAACAAAATTATTTTCGGATCCACCTAAATTCTTAGATGCTTCAGAAAAATCGTGTAGTTTCAAAGTTTGACGGGGAGTATCAGATCTCATCCGCTAAATTTATACTGCACTGCTACTTCAAGAACGGACACTATATTCCACTTTCCACTTTAATGCATTAGATACATCGCATACGGCGACGAAGTTACGGATGTACTTTCGGTACTTTCTAGGTCCTTGACGGTGATAGCTTTCGACGGCCACGTATACTCCCTCAAGCTGATCCCGAGTTCGGTGTTTGTGTCCTTCTCCCTCGCCTGTTCGACCGAGCTGCCGGCCGGGCTGTTGCTGACGTTGCTATTGGACCGCTGGGGTCGCCGATTCTGCGGATTTATCACCCTGGCCATGACTTGTCTTTTCAGCTTCGGCGAACTGATGTTACAGTCGAGTGAGCACATACACACGGGCTTTCAAATAAAATCAAGCGGTCCGCAATCGCGCCACAATCTCTCATCTCATGCGTTTTATTGTTCAGTCGTAGCAAAGCTGACGATGTCGGTGCTCTCGCGATTTTGCCTGAACATGGCAGCCAACGTGGGCCTTCAGTATGCCGCCGAGCTGTTGCCGACTCCCATTAGGACGCAAGGTGTTGCATTGATCCACATTTTTGGCATTATTGCCCATTCCATTGCGCCATATGTGGTGGATAGTGTAAGTCAGCTTTCGTATTCTTCAGTTATGAACAAAGCATGTTATAGAATTCTGACGCAACTATTCCATTATATGCATATTCATGTAATTGATAATATTAGAAAATTGTTATTACATATTATATAATTATGGAATTATATAAAAAATATATTCTTTTACAAATTTTTACAGCTATATTATTTGTATTAAAATGTAGGAGATGAAATAATAAAAAAAAAATGATTCAATTTATACTTTGACGGGCGAATATTAAATATTCTATCGCATGTCACGTCGCATTTACTTTCAATTTAATTAGTGTTTAAATCGTATATATATCGTCAATGCAAATAAATATTGATAGAAATACTGATTTTTCATTGAAGATAAAAATATAAGCTCTATTCGCGTTGCTCGATATTTAGTCAATTAATTGAAATTGTTTCAGGCCAAGATTTGGTACGGGCTGCCGATGACGATCATCAGCGTCGGGTCATTTGCAGCTGTTGCCCTCCCGCAGACTCTACGTCAGGGAGAGGACTTCGGCAAGGAACAAAGCTTCTGGACGCTACCCTGCTGCGACGTTATCCGACCGCGTTCGAATCGACAACGATATTATCATTCAACCGAATTATAGTCTTTTTAATTTTTATTACATAAGGCCTCGGCATAACCGTCGAGAAAATATAATTAAAAGAAAGAAAGAATGTTGCACGGTACGTGATAATATAAGTAATTAAGATTTGTACGATTAATAAAATTTATTAATAAAATTAATAAAATTCAAAGATAAGGTCGGAATGATCTTCCGCTCGAGGAGCATTTTTTAGTAGGATGAAAGTAAATGCATTATAACAAAGTTTTACAAGAAATCAAAATAACTCGTCCTTTTATTTGATCACCTTTAGATGATCAGATTTTAATGAGTGAAATGGTATTAACATCTTTCGATTTACAAAGAAATTTCCATATTTGGCAATGAAAGATGAGAAATATGTGTCTATGCGATGAACGTTGTGCCGTATATACATTTATAAATTATCTAAAATCTACTTACGTACATAATTAATTCGTTTGCTAATCGCCATTAGCAACTTTGCAACAACTCTTGATGATACATCAAGAAAACGAAGGCATTCCTTTTATTTGTTCATATTATTTGTTCATTTATGTAGTCCGTTGTATCCTTCCAATATAACAAAGTAACATAATCCTTTATATTTATATCTCACGGAAAATCAATTGTATGTATCGTGGTTCAAAGATGTCGAGACGTTGTTCTTCAGAAAGACAAGGAACAATGAGCAAAGGGATGGACCCTTTGTAATTTTTAATTCCGCTGAGTTTGTAGCAAACGAGTATATGAATATCTACATATACGCGATATTTACGTTTATTCGCGAGTAAACAAAAACGGCATTTGGCACATTAAGTTTTACTTTGTATAATGTAAAAAATTAGATTCGTTGACATTATACTGATCTCGATCCTCGTGATACGAAGAAGTCAGCTCGCTCGTTACTTCAGTCTCGCTAGAATTACGCTTAATGAAATAGCTTTGTACACACTGATGCATCCTAGAAAAGAGCGACGAGTCGAAAGTCAAAGTCGCGTCGCGAGAAAACGATTCGGAAAAGCAATCTGGCACTCTCGAGACAGTCACATCGACTTCGAAGTTGCGCATTCACGTTCATGTTCGTGTCCATCCAAGCGTGTACCTCATTGGATACATGGATGCAATTTTATTTCGCATTCTTACTTGTTCCACTTCACCATTGAGCGTTACCGCACTTGACGTGTCCATCATATGTTTAACACATAAAATCACACACGGAGACGACTTATTCGCAATATTTACAACAAAAAGAATTTGTTAAATTATCATGCGAACGGTCGTTATAATCTTGTACAGTCGATAGTTTGAATACTGCCGTGATGGAAAGCCGCGTTCGTCATGCCTTCTTTCTTCTTCTTCCTCAAGGATTTCTTCAATTTCGGGGTTCTGCAACAATTTCGAAGGTAAAGAGATAAAATAAAACTATTATGAGATAAAAATATGAAGAATCTCGATATTTCTTCTTATCTGAATCCAATGCGAAAGAGATAAAAATTAAGAAGGGAGAAAAAGAGAGAAAACGAGAGAGAGGATAACTCACGAGGATATGCAAGGAATCCACCAAAAGCTTTGATCCATGCCAAAGTCGTTACCCTCCTGCAGAGTTTCGGGCAAATCCTGGTCTAAGGTTTCAGGTAGCGCTAGCGTTAAGAACGCATCGAAAAACGATAAGAGACCAAGAACTATCAATGGTAAATTTTGGTTAACGTCAGCCTAAAAAAAAAAAATAATGACCATTAACTTAATTAATTGACCTGACCACTGGATTCCATTAATTACGGTATCGTGCACAGATAAGATCTCGCGGATTCTCGTGATACTTTACCAGATAAATCACATAAGGTCCGACGATGTGAGCGATGTAGCCAATAATGTGAATTAGAGACACACCTTGCGCTCGCACTACGGTCGGCAACATCTCGGCCGCGTATTGGAAACCGATATTCGCGGCGATATTGACACCGAGGCGTGCCAAAATCGCCATGGTGACGGTTAGTGTACCTGAAACATCACGGATTATGTAAATGTAACATGTTACAAGCTCTATTTGTCACATTCACCAATCATTTCGCCTCAATCCTCCTTCATTTTATAAATTTGTACAATTTAATTCTCGGCTCTTTATCAAAATATTTTGTTTATTATCGTATGTCTTTTATATTTGTGATTTGAAATCATTTCTACTTAATATTGGCCGGCTTTCGCTACATGAACCTGATGACAGCCATAATTTCCAAAGAAAAATAAGAAGCTATTGATCCACGCTAGTTTACGATCCAAAGAAACTTAGATCGCAGATCACGGACTAACAAAATCAAAGATCTCATATTTTCGCGTGTTCTCATTTTATTTTTTATATCTGTTTGGAATCTAAAACAATTTTCTTGTATTGTTCTGATGATGAAGACGGATAAACCTGATGATGACAAGACTATAACTATAAATTGATCTAACATCGTGAGATTCGTGAGTGATATTGTAACTTACCAACGGGAGTGCCAATGGCGATCAAAGAAAATACGCCGCATATGAACATAGAAGCGAAGCCCATCCATCGTCTACCCCATCTATCAAGGAAAAGTGCCAGCAGAATCGCCGCCGGAAGCTCGGTCATCGCAGCTATGGAGAACGACGTGAACACATCGGGGTGCAACAGCTTCATATTCCAAACGTGTCCGTCGAACACCAGGATGATCAATAGCCTGAAAACGATTGTTCGATCAATAATCGTTTTAAACGAGGGTAAATAGATTGAATCTAATCTCTCTGACACTTACCAGTAAATAACAAGCATGACAGTAATGCGAGCCAGTCGGGGTAACTTGAAGAGATGCAGGACCGTGTACTGATTATGCGATTGATCCTTCTCGATTATATTCTTGCAACTTTTTTCAAATGCCTCGAACACCTCCTGCTTGACTTCCTTGCCATTGACTTTCGCGAATTTCTTTAACATCTCAATCGCCTTGTCAATGTTACCGCTCATGATGTACCACCTAAAAAATAGAATAAGCCGAAACTGTTACGTATCTATTAGCATCTACATACATATATATGTACTTTGCAGCATATAAATAATAATTTTATTTCACAGAAGATAATTTATATTACAAATTCATGCAGACGTTCTATGTTTTATTCGTATTTTCTTTCTTTTTTGACGATATGTCCCTCGTTGCAGTGCAGCGAATCACTCTATTACTTATAAATTTCTTTTAAAAAATAGATCTTATGTATTTTCTGATTGCTATATAGCTGTTGTTATTTCGACAATTACTTTAATGGATTCCACTTTGGATCTTGCAATCCACGACTGACTGGCTATTTAATTTTTTATTCTGACAGATGTGAACCATTATCCGATTTATGTTCGCTGAAGATGACTCCAAAGTAAATCGAAACGTTCGAATATTTGTATGCAGTGATTTTGTAATTATAAATTCTTAATCTTATAATTATAATTACTTTAAAATTGTATCTTTTTGCGCTTTATGACCTGCATTTATACTCTCATTGACCTGTTTTGGTCTATGTTTGTTTTTTATTTGAGAGATTATTTTTAATTTATTACAAATTTAATATAAGATAATAAGAGACAAATACCGTGCACTTTCTGGGACAAGCCACGGGCCGAGGAAAGCGACGATCATCGGGAATGCGGTGACAACGCTTAAAATTCTCCAATCTGCGATCCAATATGCAATCCATGGCAAAAGACTAGCGGCGGCCGCAAAGTAAATCCCAAAGGACATGTTTGCCACCAGAGTTCGATATTTCGGACCGACGTACTCGATCACTGCGATGAAAGTTATCGTCAATAATGATGACTGAAGTATCACAATAATAATTTTCATTCATATGTAGAAAATTCTATTTCAGAATTCAAATCGAAAATTTAAAGTATTTTTTTGAATCAAAGCTATTGATCAATAGTAATAAAAATACCTATTCGTATCTCCTTAATAAGCTGCTTGATTTGGACAGAAAATTCATTTAAATAATTCATAATTTTTCATTCGATCGCGACGATACGTACCGATAATGAAGAGTACGTTGAAGCAATTGTCGAACGATGAACCGACAATTAGCCTTGCGATGCAGAAGGACCAAAAACTATTGCAGAAGGCTGTCGCGATAGAGGCGAAGAAACCTACTGTGTTGCAAGACACTAACGCTGGAATTCTGCCGTAGTGATCAGCTATGTAGCCGAATATCAGGCCACCGATAATGCTGCCAACGAAGAAGGCTGACTGAGCCGCGGAACCGAGGAAAGTCTTGTCGCAAACCCATTCGAGCTGGCGAAATGATACATATTGTTATAATCGCGAAGAGATCTACTGTTATTAATAATACTGTCATCACGACATTTATTTATCAGAATCTGTAGGTGGATCTCTTATAGAAATTCAATTTTTTATATTGATCAATTACTAGTGAAAATTACTTCTATTAGTATTAACCCTTTTTTCTCTAAAAGTTTTAGAGTAAATTTTACTTTGAAGAGTGAAATCTCAATCTTAAAGATTAAAAATTGACTTTTTATCAAAACTAATTCAATTATCACTGTTTAGAATGAGATTCCATTCCAAAAAATTTAGAAAGTACATCGATAATTTTTTCGGTCTTTTATTACACACAATAAATCATTTGTGTGTCAATTTTAATTTTTATCACTATAATAAATATACAAAAATTATTAAGATTCTTTATACTCTTTAACATCTTTAGATAATACTTTAAGACTGTATATTTTTTTAACAAATTATACAGTGTTTGATAACGATAAATATCTCGCATAATGATAGAGTGGACTAAATTGAGTCGAAAAATTTTCTACCATTTTGCAATTTTCGCAATAATTAACAAAATATCAATTACTAAAAATCATCAAATATTGATTTTTAATAATTTTTTACTCGAGTACTATCAAGTTTACAGAAAAATAGCAAGAGACAAAAATTATTTATTTTCTTCTCATAGAGTTTTAAGAATTTTTTCAGAATTTTTTTATCAACTTTTTAGTGCTGCATTTTTTTATATTGGCAACTATTTTTAACATGAGAAAATGTACTAAAAAATTCTG